AATGGTGTTATCTTGAGTTTGGCTAAACACTTCAGGGTGAAAACACTGCAGTGATGGAATAAACAATGTTGTCACCCTATTACAGGAAGTGAAAACATAATGCATTTACTAGCAGGATCAACAGGTAATAAAACATCACAGGGGGTATCAGAACCACAAAAACTGCTGGGTTACAGACTGCATCATATGTCATTTGTTATTTTGTCTATAATTACACTTTTAGGGTGGACAATACCAGGGTTTTGTGCTGCTTGAGGTGAGCTTTAAAATACAGGAAATGCTCATTTGCTCCCCAAATATGCAGTTAATGACCCCAACCTAAAACATTCCTATACTTATATTTCAGAGGTCATTACATGCTGGGTATAGCGGATCAATAGAAAATGTGGTCATGGGACAGAGAGTAATGTTCAATCATATTGTTTCTATGAATGACATTTGGATGGAGGCAGTAGGGACCCCACTATTGCATTGCAGTAACATCTGACAATATTGTGGGCAGCACAGTGGCTTAGTGGTTAGAATTTCTGCCTTGCAGCACTGGGGGTCCCTGGTTTGACTGCCTACAAGAAGTTTGCATGTTCTCCCTGTACTTGCGTGGGTTTCCTCCGGGTAGTCCGGTCTCCTCCCACACTCCAAAGACAGGCAAGCTCATTGTAACCGCCTTGAGGGCAAGGACTGATGTGAATGTGCATTATGTAAAGCGTTGCATAAATCGTCTGCACACCTGCATACCTATAATAAATAAATACATTGCAAATTAGGTCATGCCACCAAAATCAAACCATTAACAACATAACATCATTGTATTTGCCTTTACCTGTTGCCGTGCCATCTAGTGTTCACCATAGTGTGCTACAACAGATAACTTAAGTTTAAGTTTGACTGTGCTCGTATTTCCTTGCTCCTGGGCCACTCTGTTTGGCCACTGAAACTATCACTTCTTGCTATTGGTGGTACATATGACTTACTCCCATGTGACAGTGAGAGGTGCCTTTTGTTTGCCTCAGCACTGTCACATGGGGCAAGGAAGGGAGTCTACAAACTTGATTAAGCTCAAACAACTTAGTTTGGAGGTTTTGCAGGGAGTGCTTTCTCCATCAGTGGCCAAATAGAGGATAACAGGTGTGTGTGTGTGTGTAGTTAAATGACCCTTTTATTGTCAAAGAAAAGGTTTACTTTAAGGCACTAAAATACATGCAGGTACTTGCTGCCCTATTGGTGGAAGTGGAGAGGTTCCCCAAACCACAGTGTCCGTATTGTGTTAGGCAGTGGAATGTCCATGTTAGGGTTTTCCGTAAAGAATGGCTAATCAAAGTGCCATCATTTAATTTTTATTGCTTTAAAAGTTTGTTACTGTAAATATCCGGGGGATTTCAGAAAAACCTGGAGCAGACAGAATATGGAGCAGTTGTCCATAGTAACCAATCACCTTCTCTGTTTCATTTTCAAAGCTTAACTGAACAAACTGAAAAGAGAAGCTGATTGGTTACTATGGATAATCGAGATTCTGCATGCTTATAAATACCCTCCATTGTGTTTATATTGTATTATATGTATTTACTTTTTTTTACATTTTTAAGTAATTGCTAGAAAGAGTGTACAATAAACGTTGGTAGTAGGTCAATGGCTTAAAACTTTGCTACTGTTTAAAATTGGAAGAGAATTAAGGTTGGCTCATTTTTGTTCCTGGAACCACTGGTGCATGGCACTGAAGTTGTAAGGAGGGAGGTGCGTGTGTGATATTTTGTTTTAACCATTGTCATGTCTGAAGTAGACATAAAGGGTTTCTGGTCACCATTATTGGTTTTAGCTCCAAGATGCATGGCCCGCTTAGCACAAGAATGAACTGTGGCAATACACATTGCGTGTGGTTTTGACTTCATGTTAATTAGAAGATATAAACAGGCCACTTCTGGAGACTTGCTCAACTTGGTAACATTAATTAAATCCCTGCACAACCACTTGGATATCTGAACTTTGCTATTTTAAAATGTCAGATTAATATATTCAAATGCTTACCTTTCACACTTGAACATGAAAGTTAATTAAATATGTTCTTTTTGTATTCACTAGATTGTTCTACCTGGCTTTCCAGCTACTTGCTGCTATTCACACAGGAATTGGTGAGCATATTGTTTACCTGTGTGAAAAAATGAATTCAACTTTAAAAAAATGATCAAGAGTATCTTATGGAGGAAAGGGTGAATTAATGTCAATCATAATGATACATAATCTTCAGAAGATACTCATCAGGTCTAATTATGTTTTGTGTGACTAATCAATCTTTGCTAAATGCATGCAGTTTATGAAAATGTAACGGACAACTTTTTCGATTTATATTGTATTGCAGCAGCATTCTCATCTCAAGAGCAAGTGTAGAGTTATCTCATTTATTCTCAATTTATTTGGAAGTACATAAATGTATTCTGCCTAATGGGCTGTGTTGATGGGCTCTTGTTCACTTTAGGTGGGTTTTGTATCGCTATACAAGTCTGTGGCATGTAAAACCTGCTTGAAGCGGGTCAATTGTAGGTAAGGAAGAGGTCAACCGCAAATGCATCTGTCAGTCAATTCTGAACGATCTCAGAAGCTGATGTCATTGACTTAAAGGATAATTAAAGCCTCCGGTTTTTTTTTTTTGCATAGATCTACTGCTAGAAAGCAGTAGATCTATGCAAAAATAAATAAATGCTTTAACAGAGGTTAATACTCACCTGTGTCTTCCCTGCGCGCTCCCGTCCGAAAATGTGAAGATCCTCGGGCGGCCGCAAAGCATCTTGGGGCAGGCGCATGCGCAGTTTGGATTTTCGGCCGGGAGACGAGGAGAGACACAAGGTAAGTCTATGGACGCGTGCACCCGCATGCAGACTCCGTGGGACAGGAAGTGCCAGCAAGGACAGAGGAGTCAGCGCTGGATCGGAGACCCGCCGCAGCGCTGGAGGGACAGATGAAAAGGACAGGAAAGAAGATCGGATTAAGAGACATCATTTAATGTAAGTGCTGACATTAACATTGGGGGAGGGGGAAAAATTTACTTTAATGTCACTTTAAGTGCAAAGTCATCAATACAGGCCCTAATAATCAATGCATTATGTTTTTCTACTTAGTCTTTAATTGTGTTTATATGTATACATGGATAAACCATTTGTATGTATTGATGTAGTGCAGGTAGCACTTCCTTTTCAGGAGCACTGTGCATTATATACATTGTACTTCTCTTAATGCAATACAAGTAATACCATGTTGATTTATTAGGAATGTATGCATCACCAAGCAAGCCCTTCACACTCCAGGATAGCCTGTTAGGATTTCTAACATAAACATATACTGTGGAAACATATATGGTGGAACATGTGGAACATATACTGTGGCTTTTAATGCTTAGTAAGTTCTATACCCTCCGGTTTTCTAGCTGGAATTCTTATCCTGTGGCTTCCATACATTGACTAATCTAAAACAATCATGCGGCACTGTAATCTTTTTAGCACAGGTTTCCTTGAGAAAAGATAAATATATTTGTCATATCTGATCTCTTTTACTCACAGGCATTACAGGAGAAAGTATCTTCTCTGTTACTTTAAGACAGAAACGCCTTTTTTTTTTTTTCTTCTCCTTAAGGGCTTGTTCACGCCAAGTGCGGAGCAGATGCAGAACAGTTACATAATGCATCAAAAATGCATCCAATGTATTCCAATGGTATTTTATGCTCTAGTTTACACCACATCATTCAGTTCCAGAGCATGTGGAAACACTGCAGCATGCCCTATTTTTTTCTGCTCTGGAACACATCAAAAACGCATGCAGAACATACTTTTTTTTTTTTTAAGGCCCGGAACGCGGCAAAACACACTGCACTGCATATGCTGAAACTCATGCAGATCTGGTCTGGATTTGGTGTGAACAAGACCTTGGAAGACTAAAGCCGCTGAAAGCTCCCCCTATTGGCTCATCATCTACACATCTCTAGTTTATGCAATAACACAAATATTGAAGTGCAATCTTTCAAAAACTGTAGATGTAATAAATGGCAGCTGGTAGCAAGGGTGTTTTAAAAACGTACAATGCGACTTTATTTTATATTTGTTTGAAGGAATAGTGGGATCCCCTTTTGGGGAATTTTGTACCTTTTCTACACTTTATAACGCCCAAAATATTGTCCCCCTCCCCCGCCTCATTGTCCCCCATTGCTATGTATCCCCAGCTCCGCTGCCCCTTCTGTGGACCCAGGGCAGGCATGGGGGGGGGAGCGGTGACTTATTAGCCTCCTATGTGATGGCAATAATGTGTAAAAATGTTTTTTTAATAATTAACATTAAATTGATGATAAAAAAAACACTTTTTTTTTTTAAAGCTCCCTACATCCACGTACACATACATATTAAACGCACATCAGGTGCATCTACGTACGAAAGCGGTAATTGCACCACACATGTTAGGTATCGCTGCACATGCCAGAGTGAGAGCAATAATTCTATGGCCATTATTCCCAGATATCTCTAAACAGGAGACCTGTAAAGGTTTTTAAAGCATCCTTGAACAATTTTGGATACTGAATTTTGTCGCCATTTTACAGGTGCACACAATTTTGACGCTTGGTATGTTTGGTATGCATTTACTCAGCACAACCTCATCTTTTGCTATTGAGGACTAAATTGTGTATGTGTGGACTAAAAGTAGCTTGTGTACTTTAATAAATGTTGTTCTCCAGGATCTCTGTTTTCAGAAAATATATATAAATATATACTTGGGTGCGGAGAGGGCTACACTAATCTTCAGGCCTAAAAATTTGCAATGTATCATGTGTGCAAAACATGGCTCCTGGTATTGCAGTGGTTAAAGTCCAACTCCAACTTTTTCAATGGGCATCTTTTAACCCAAAAGATGACAGGTGCTGGACAACTGCAGTGGTGATTCTACGGACAGCAATGAAGAGGAGATTGCGGCATTGCAGCCAAAGCTGTTCTATTTTTTTGAGATGCTGAGGAACATTTTTTTTTATTTGCTATTTTGCTGGACTTCTAGGTGAACACATTTTATAATGCACAATATGTGCTTTACGTTAAATACATTAGACTTTCTTTTTCAGTGTAATTTGTCACCTGTATTGTATCTTGCTATTTTGTGGTAAACGGATACAAATTTTTACAAAACAAAACAAAAAAAAAATCAATTTCAATAATATATTTTTTTTCTGAATACTAGCAATTCAAAATGGAACTATAAAAGCTGCTGGATCCTCACTGTCATTGGAAACGCATATTCAGAAGCCTATGAGGCAGCTTAACCATACTGAGTTTCGGAAGCACAAAGGCTTTGGACAGAAGATTCCTTTTATTGGGCTCACAAAAAGTAAGTCACGCTCTGACAATGACTGCCACTTACATTTTCTTGTCAATCTCCCAAGAATTGTGTAGGACATGTATCCACACTGTGATAAATCAAAACACACAGGTGAAGCCTCCAAGGTAAGGCTACTTCATTAATTCATGCCGATTCAAGTATCTTCTGTCAAAAATGATACAAAATAAATAACATATCACAAATTGTCTCCTAAAAAGGAACTGATAAAGTGGTTAGCAAAACTGGCTTTCATGAGCCGTTCATTTCATATATTAAGGAAAAATATTTTGATTTCTGCACATAGTTCACTTATGTATTACTTTGACTACCCATTCCTTTTGTGATCTTAGTGGTTGAAAATGATGCCGGATTTGGTACAAGGAAAACACATCCATGATATATATATATATATATACAAAGCTATAATACCCATTAAGTAAGTTGTAAGATGCATTGGTATTTATGTAGCACAAAACCTCTGTTATGCAGTAAGTAATTCAGGGAACACAGTGGGACAAGACCAGGGGTGGGCAACTCTGGCCTTCCAGCTGTTCTTTAACTACAAATCCCAACATGCATTTGCCTCTAGGAGTCATGCCTTTAACTGTGTCAGTCTTGCAATGCCTCATTAGACTTGTAGTTCCACAACTTCCGGAGTTGCCCACCCCTGAGCAAGACAGTATGTTCACATCCACAATCC